GAGCTTGCAGTGAACCGAGATCATGCCACTGCACTCCAGCCTGGGTGACAGAGCGAGACTCCGTCTAAAAAAAAAAAAGAACCATCCCTGTTGGTGGAATACCCATATGAGGGAATATGAGGCAGCATGTAAGGAATGAGGCACCCTTCCATTCTACAATGTGGGTGAAACAGGAAAACATGATGCTGAGTGAGAGAAGCCAGATGCAAATAGCCACAGAGTGTGAGGTGTCATTGATCTGAAATGTACAGAACAGGCAAATCCCGGCTGGGCGCAGTGGCTCATGCTTGTAATCCCAGCACTTTGGGAGGCTGAGGTGGGTGGATCACCTGAAGTCACGTGGTGGAGAACAACCTGGCCAACATGGTGAAACCCGGTCTCTACTAAAAATATAAAAATTAGCTGGGCGTGGTGGCGTGTGCCTGTAATCCCAGCTACTTGGGAGACTGAGGCAGGAGAATCGCTTGAATCTGAGAGGTGGAGGTTGCAGTGAGCTGAGATCGTGCTGCTGCACTGCACCCTGGGCGACAAAGCAAGACGCTGTCTCAAGAAAAAAACAAAAAAAAAAGAACAAGCAAATCCATAGACAGACAGTAGATTAGTGGCTGCCAGGGATGAGGAAGGGGGAATGGGGAGTGACTGCTAATGGGGACAGCGTTTCCTGTTGGGTGATTAAAATATTCTGGAACCAGATAGTAGCGATAGTTGCCTAAGACCGTGAATGTGCTAAATCCCACTGAATTGTACACTTCAACGTGGTTAAAGGCTGGGCGAGGTGGGTCACACCTGTAATCCCAGCACTTTTGGAAGCTGAGGTGAGAGGTTGCTTGAGGCCAGGAGTTCGACACCAGCTCAGGCAATATAGATAGACCAGTCTCTACAAAAAATAAGAAACTATCCAGGAATGGCAGTGCTTGCCTAGTTGTGGGGCTGAGGCAGAAGAATTGCTTGAGCCCAGGATATGGAGGCTGCAGTGAGCTATGATCACACCACTGCACTCCAGCCTGGGTAACAGAGCAAGACCCTGCCTCAAAAAATAGAAATAAAATACACTGGTTAAAATGCTAATTTTTTTTTTTTTTTTTTTGAGACAGAGTCTTGCTCTGTTGCCCAGGCTGGAGTGCAGTGGCATGATCTTGGCTCATTGCAAGCTCCGCCTCCCGGGTCCATGCCATTCTCCTACCTCAGACTCCCAAGTAACTGGGACTACAGGTGCCCGCCATCACGTCTGGCTAATTTTTGTATTTTTAGTAGAGACGGAGTTTCACTTTGTTAGCCAGGTTGGTCTCAATCTCTTGACCTCATGATCTGCCTGCCTCGGCTTCCCAAAGTGCTGGGATTACAAGTGGCAGCCACTGCGCCTGGCCTAAAGTGGTAATGTTTTTGTTATGTGTACTTTGCCACAATGAAACTGCAACTTAACTGGGTATGGTGGTGCACACCTGTAGTTCCAGCTTCTTGGATTGGGAGACTGAGGCAGGAGGATTGCTTGAGCCAGGAGTTCAAGTCCAGCCTGGGCTACACAGCAAGACCCTGTCTCTAAACAAACAAAACCAGAAACACCTCCAGCAACTCAGCTCTCAGGGTCCTGTATCTCTGTCTGTCTCTGCCTGGGGTGGGGGTGAGGGTCAGGGTGGGGGAGCCAGCCTCTGCTGCCTACTGTCCGGTGACCACAGGTTTGCCACGCCCCAGGCTTGGGGGACATTGAGAGATTCACAGCCTCTCTCTGGCCTCAGTTAGCCAATGTGAATAAGAAGGGACCTTGAGGGACCAGGTGTGGTGGCTCATGCCAGTAACCCCAGCACTTTGGGAGGCTGAGGTGGGCGGATCACTTGAGGCCAGGAGTTTGAGACCAGCCTGGCCAACATGGTAAAACCCTGTCTCTGCTAAAGATACAAAAATTAGCTGGGCGTGATGGTGGACTCCTGTAATCCTGGGTACTTGGGAGGCTGAGGTAGGAGAATAGCTTGAACCTGGGAGGTGGTGGTTGCAGTGAGCTGGGATCACACCGCTGGGTTCCAGCCTGGGCAACACAGCAAGACTCCCTCTCAGAGAAAAAAAATAAAAACAAAAACAAATAAAGGAAGGGACTTTGAGGACCTGCGCTAGCTAGCCCTCCATCAGCCTCTCCAGCATACAGTTGGCACCATTCTTAGTGGTGATGCATCATAGGTCGTTTAGCAGCTTTTACCCACTAGATGTCAGTAGCATCCCACCCTCAACTCTGTGGCGACCACCAAAAATGTCTCTAGATAGTGATAAAAGTCCTCTGAGGCCAGAATCAGTCTCAGTGGGGAATCCCTGGTCTGGTCCCTATCTCTACACTGCGGAGTGGATTTGGGATCACTGACCCACTTTGGCATCAGTGAGGTCCTCATTGAGCCAAGCTCAGCCAATCACAGCATTAATTGCTTCCCATGATGTTAGTGATTGGTGTAGGAATATTACATGGCCCAAGCTCAGCCTATCAGAGTCAGCCCTGAGACTTTAGCTTGGGCTATTGGGACAGATACATTTTCCTGCAGTGTCTCGGGTATTGGTAGGAGAGGGGCCCAGAACACAAGGGGGACTTTTTTTTTTGGCACTTTCCAGGCTGTTTATACACATTCTCTGGCTCTGTACTGTTGCTTTGGAAGATATCACACTGCATGATGTCCGACATATGAAAGCAAGGCCAAGGACTTTTTTCTTTTGCTGGAAACATTTTGAAAGGGATTTTGTAATTATTCTTTTAGTTCTAGCTAGCAATGAATGGATGATTGGTTGGATGTGCTTAGGAATTCTTGCTGAATGAGGTCACCTAGCCTCAAAAACAATCTAAATGGGAGGTGAATGAATTCTCAATTTTACGCTTAGTGAGGCTGACATAATGTTACCTTTTTTTTTTTCTTTTGTAATTGTTCTTGTATTTTAGAATGTGGAGATCTTATTCCCTAGGTCTTTAATATTTCTGTTGGCCTGTGCAAAGACTCATGGCTCCAGGCATCGTGTCAAAAGTGCTTACAGATAGAGTCAACTTTCTCAGAGAGATGCCCACTCAGGGAACAGCAGATGAAGAGGTGAAGTGACAAGCATTTCTGTTTCTTTTTTCTTTTATTATCATTTTTGAGATGGAGTCTCGCTCTGTCACCCAGGCTGTGCAGTGGCACGATCTCAGCTCACTGCAACCTCCACCTCGTGGGTTCAAGCGATTCTCCTGCCTTCAGCCTCCTGAGTAGCTGGGACTACAGGCACGAGCCACCATGCCTGGCTAATTTCTTTCTTTTCTTTTCTTTTTTTTTTTTTTTTTTTTGAGACGGAGTCTCGCTCTATTGCCCAGGCAGGAGTGCAGTGGCGTGATCTCAACTCACTGCAACATCCACCTCCCAGATTCAAACAATTCTCCTGCCCCAGCCTCTGGAATAGCTGGGATTACAGGGGTGTGCCACGATGGTTGGCTAATTTTTGTATTTTTAATAGAGATGGGGTTTCACCATGTTGGCCAGGCTGGTCTCAAACTCCTGACCTTAAGTGATCCACCCGCCTCGGCCTCCCAAAGTGCTGGAATTACAGGTGCGAGCCACCACACCCAGCTGAGAGGCATTTCTGATAACCTAATTTGAGTACCTGGATCCAACCGCACCTGAGGCCAACTTCCCTGATAATTTCAGATGCACAAGTCATCCATTCCTTCTCCTTTTTCTAAAAAAAACTACCTCTGGAGCATTTCATTAAGTCAAACAACAAAAGTTATGCAGCGTTCCGTGCACTTCGTATATATAAATTCCCACAGTGAACCTTAGGCTCACATCTCATTAAAAATATTTTAAATATGTCTTTTTATTTATTTATTTTTTGAGATGAAGTTTCACTCTGTCGCCCGGGCAGTTGCGTGATCTCAGCCACCTCTCAGGTTCAAGCGATTCTTCCACCTCAGCCTCCCGAGTAGCTGGGATTACAGGCACCTGCCACCAGGTCTAGCTAATTTTTTTGAATTTTTCATAGAGGGGGGATTTCAGCATGTTGGCCAGGATGGTCTTAAACTCCTACCCTCAAGTGATTCACCCACTGCAGCCTCCCAAAGTGCTGGGATTACAGGCGTGAGTCACCACACCCAGGCTAAATATCTTTTTAAACTTCTATTTTTCTATGGTGGGACTATAAAAAAAACAGTAATAGCAAATCCTGTTTCTCATTCAGTGGGATATTTTTTCTTCCTGTAAATCAGATTGTTTACAGGGCTGGCAGGGACTTATATATGATTCAGCGTTGAGTCCCCAGCATCATCAACACATTTGTTTCAAGATTAAAACAAATATAAGGCACTAGGAGTCTCTTGAAAGACACTTAATGATTTGGTTCCTTTACCAGCCCGGATGGATGAAGAAAGTTGATTGAAGAAAAGTTATTATAAATCAGGAAGGAAGGACAGTGTGGAACATTCTGGCATCTGGGGTATCCTTTTTTTTTTTTTTTTTTTTTTTAAATTTTCTCAAGCCATTTTTGAGCTGGAGATTGATATTTGTAACCAAAACAGCTTTCACTCATTCCAACCTGTAAAATGCTTTTTTTTTTTTTTTTTTTTGAGACAGAGTTTTGCCCTTGTTGCCCAGGCTGGAGTGCAGTGGCGTGATCTTGGCTCACTGCAACCTCTGCCTCCAGGGTTCAAGTGATTCCTCTGCCTCAGCCTCCTGAGTAGCTGAGAATACAGGCGCCCGCCACCATGCCTGGCTAATGTTTTTGTATTTTTAGTAGAGACGGGGTTTCACCATGTTGGCCAGGCTGGTCTCGAACTCCTGACCTCAGGTGATCCACTGGCCTCAGGCCTTCAGAGTGCTGGGATGATAGGCGTGAGCCACTGCGCCTGGCCAAAATGCTATCTTTAGACACCACCCAGGCCATGAAAATTTTTGTTCAAACAAATGTATAAAACTGATGAATCAGAAGTGTTCTGATGACAACTAGCATTTGTGGAGTTCCTACTGGAGTCAGATGCCATCCACGGGCTTTTTTTTTTTTTTTTTTTATGAGACAGGGTCTCGCTGTATCACCCAGGCTGGAGTGCGATGCAGTGGTGCAATCATGGCTCACTGCAGCCTCAACCTTCTGGGCTTAGGTGATCCTCCCACCTTAGCCTCCTGAGTAGCTGGGACTACAGGTGTGTACCACCACACCAAGCCTAAGTCTCCCAAATTGCTGGGATATAGATGTGAGCCACTATCCCTGGTCCTATGAGCTTTCATGAGGATTAAATCTCAGAATCTCCTCAAGTGGTTCTGTGAGGTAAAGACAGTTATTCCCATTGTACTGATGAGGAAATCAAGGCACAGAGAGAATTTGCCCAAGGCACCAAAGCAAGGAAGTGTCAGAGCCTGGAGCTGAACTCAAGGAGACTGTCTGCGGAGTTGATCCCAGTTAGGGGACCATTGCTGCTCTCTACCCAACCCCGGATCCTATGCCCCACGTTCTATTTCAGCACACACCTGCTAAGTAGACAGAGATCCCACAGCAGAAAAGGCCAAGGGCCACGTGTCTGAGGAGGCGGCAGTCATAGAGAAACCAGTCCGACCTGGAATGAAGGGAAGCAGGAAGATAAAGGGTTCAGGAAGTGGAGCTGGTGGGGGGAGGTCAGTGAGGACAGGGAGGGAGAGCAGCTTAAATGAGACAAGGACCCAGCTTTCAGGGACCCAAAATCTATGAGTACCTAACCATCATCCATCTACTCACCCACCCATTTATATCCATTTACTTATCCACTCTCCATCTATCCATCCATTCATCCATCAACTCATCCATCCATCAGCCCATCCATCCATCTGTCCACCCATTTATCCATTCATCCATTTATCCACCCATTCATCCATCTGTCCACTCATCCATTCATCCACCCATCCATACATCCGCCCATTCACCCATCCATCCATTTATCCATCCATCCATCCATCCATCCATCCATCCATCCATCCATCCATCCATCCATCCATCCTTCCGTTCACCCATCCATCCACTTATCCATCCATCCATCCATCCATCCATCCACCCACCCACCCACTTATCCATCCATCAACCCAGTCATCCATCCACTCATTCATTCATCCATCCACTTATCAATTCATTCATCCATCCACTTATCTATCTATCCATCAGCCCCATCCATTCATCCATCCATACAATCATTTAGATATCCACCATCCACCTATCTGATATCTATCCATTTATCTATGCTCCATCCATCCACCCATCCATTTTTCCAAGTCAGTGTCCACCATCCATTTACCATCCATATTCATTGATTATTCGACCAGCACTCATATACAGCCTTCCATTCATTTAACCATGTGCTATTAACCCATCCATCCATTCATTTAAACACCCTCCGCTATCCTATCTATCCCTCACCCACCCATCCACTGGTCATCCATCTCCCATTCACTATCCATCCACCCCTCATCCATCCATCCATCCATCCATCCCTCCTTCCTTCCATCCATCCACCATCTATTCTCTTTCCCCTATAATCCATCTATATACATGAGTCCACTCAAACACCCAACACTCAGGAAGCAGCTACTATGTGCAGATACTTGCTACACACCTGGCTTCCATTATTTTACAGACCACAAGCTTCTTTGAGAGATGAGGAAACTGAGTTTCACGTGCTGTTATTGATGGTACAAACAGCGACCCCAAGAGGTGAGACTGATTGAGGAGGAAACGGAGACTCTGAGAGCTTCCATCCTCACTCAGCTCCCACCAGTATAATGAAAGTGGACGCCTTCCCTTCCTGCCGCCTTCCCTCCTGTCCCCTTTTCAGCACAGTGGCTAGAGGTGGTCATTAAAAACCTAAATCAGATCACCTTCCTCCTCACTCACAACCCTCCTACGCAGGAGAAATCCCAAAGTCCTATCCCCTCTCTATCCCATCTCTCTTCTTTCCTTCTCAGCACTCATTATCATCTGCTATTATTATTATTAGAGATGGGGTCTCACTACGTTGCCCAAACTAGAGCGCAGTGGTTATTCATAAGTATGATCATGGCTCACTGCAGCCTCGACCTCCTGGGCTACGCCTCTGGAGGAAGCACACACATTTACCCCAAAGCCTTGAAGGAGGTAAGGTAGAGGGAAATCCACAGCCAACTGACAGAGTCCTGTGGGTTTGAGATAAAATGAACAAGTGAATCTTTTAAATTTTGGTTATTTCTTTTTTGCCGAGACAGCAGCTCCGCCTCTGTCGGTCAGGCCTGGAGGTGCAGTGATGTGGACATCTCAGCTCACTGCAGCCTCGACTCTCTGCGGCCGAAGCGATCCCTTCCTGTCTCCAGATCCCTAAGAGTAGCTGCGGTCCACAGGCCTGCGCCACCACGACCAGGCTACAAACTTCCTTATTTCGTTGTATGAATGCAGTCTGGCTAGTGTTCGTCCAGCTGGTCTCAACAACTCCTGGGCTCAGCCATCCTCCTGCCTCAGCCCCTCCCAAAGCGGCTGGATGTCAGGCGTGTACCACCTCACCAGGCTTTCTCGTCTCCCTCTTTTTTTTTTTTTTTTTTTTTTTCGCGAGTCTCACTCCTGTCCCAGCCCACGCGCTGGATTGTGCATGGTGCAATCGTCGGCTCAATTGCAACCTCTACCTCCCCTGATTCAAACATTCCCTCCCACCTCAGCCTCCCAACCGTCGGCCGCATTACACGGATATATCACCACGCCCAGCTAGTTATTCTCTTTCCTCGACCGATGTTCGGCCAGGCTGCGGTCCTTGAACTCCTGAGCCTCAAGTGGCATCCACCTGCCTCGGACACTCCTAAAGCCCCTGGGCTTCACAGGCCGGAGCCAACCAGCGCCCGGGCCTCCTTTCCTGTTTCTTTATGGGGGTGTTTTAAAAAAAATATTTATTTATTTATTTATTCTATTTAGTGGCATGATCTCAGCCTCATTCAACTCCGCCTCCTGGGTTCAAGCAATTCCCTCCTCCTGCCTCAGCCTCCGCAAGTAGCTGGACGATTACAGGCTCGGCCACCACACCCGGCTAAATTTTTGTGTGTTTTTAGTAGAGACGAGCGGTTCACCATCAGGTTGGCCAGGCTGGGTCTGGCAACTCTTGACTTGTGCATCCGCCCGCCTTGGGCCTCCAAAGTGCTGGGATTACAGGCGAGAACACCGCGCGCCAGGCCTCCTTTTCTTGTTTTAAACAACAATAATCGATGCTTAGGGGCGCGCCAGGGGGCGAGGTGGTGCCCTTTTCTGAACCCTTAGAGACGCTGTGGGGTTCCCGCGATCCAGTCCCGTTCGTGGCGGCTCCCGCCCTTGCCCGTGGCCAGCCCCGCCCAGCCAGGCCCAGCGGACCAAGAGGGGCGCCCGCGGGCCCCAGAGGGAGGAGCAAAAGACTTTGTCCCAACGTTTTCGCGGAGATTCGCGGGTCCCGCTGCGACCCAGCACCGGACGGCGCGAGCCTGTCCATCTGGCGACCCCCAGCCCAGCCCCAACCGACTTTCAGAACACTACCCTGCGGCCCCGCCCCTCAGGGCACCCACTGGGGACTTCGGACTCCCCCCAATCCCCCTGCCCCGTAAAACCACTCGATTCCATCAACTGTTCCCCCGGCCAGCGGGAACCCTCGACCATGTCCTCGCTTCTTCTACGGGGGCCGGGTGCTTGCGCCGGCAATGACCTGTTGGGCATTCGCGGCGCGGCCGTGCCGTGACGCGGCCGCTGGGCGCGCAGCTGCTGTGTCCAGCTGCAGGCGGGGCCCCCGCGCCGAGTGGGGGGCTGCCGCGCGGACGGGCTGGGGCCCAGGAGCCGCGGGCCGCGGCCGGGCTGCCCGAACGACGCCGGCGGGCGCTACTGGCCGCTGGCCCGCGGCGCTCTGCGGCGCCGTGCCTGGTGCTGGGGTTCACCTGCTGCTGCTCGCTCGCGGCCTGCCACCTGGGCGCCGAGCTGGCGCGGGGGCCTGGCCCCCAAGGAGCGTAGGACGGACCGCCCTCCACCGCCCCGGAGGCCCCGGCTGGGGGCTGGTGAACCCTGGGATAGCCTCTTTCCCTCTTGGCTCTCAGGTGGGGGAACAGCTTCCCCTCCCCACTTTCCGTCTCCCCACTCACGCGTGCATCTTTGCTCCTCCTTTCCTTTCTTCCTCCCTCCCTCCCTCCATTCTATCTATTTGTTAAATTCTTGCGCAAGGTCGTCAACCAACTGCTGTGTCTCGTTTTTGCAGATGTTTAGAAACCTGAGGGCCAAGAGCAGGGTCCACGCGCATCACTTGCCTGGATCTCATCTCAACAGGGAGTACGCGACTCCTAAGGCTCGTCTGGCTTGCAACAGTGGTAGGTGGGCGGTGTCTGGACTTGAACTTTGGTTCTTGGGGTAGGGCAGACCAGAGCCTCGTGTCCCGGCTTGAAATGATGTTCCTTCCCTCAGGATCTGATCTCAGGTGAATGTTGTCTCCATTGAGAATACCACTCTAGTCAAATGGGGCAGTGGTGTGCAGAAGGAGGAACGCCTCCTCTGAGCTGATGGATCTCGGCCGCTTGTCCACATGGTTATGTGTTCCCGTCTGTCGGGGGAGAACAGATGCCAATTCTAAACACAGAATTCTGTGAGAGATTGAGCAGCAGTGAGAACTTCACTACTGCGCGTAGATCACTATTCAGACCACACACCCTTCCACCTCAAGGGAATGAATGCATGGTCCATAGGTCCAGTCAAACATTGTGTTGGGGTCCCTGCCTGGGGGTGGTCTGGCTCAGGCCGCATCAGAGACCAGCAGCGGACCAAGTGGACCCCAGAACTCTGCTCCTCATCGGAGTCACCCAGAAAATAAGGAAAACATAACAAGCCCGAGGCGTTGATCGCTTCATCACCTCAATCCCAGCACTTTGGGAGGCAAGAGGCAGGAGGATTCCTATTTCGAGGCCAGGTATTTTTTTTTCCTTTTTTCTGTTTTGAGACAGAGTCTTTGTCTGTTCCACCCAGCTGGATCAGTGGGCGTATCTTGGTTCACTCGCGCAGCCTACCCTCTCGTTCAACGCGATTCTCCCACCTTCAGCTTCCCGAGTACACTGGAATCTACAAGGTGCCGCACCACCCCACAAGCCAGCTAATTTCTGTATTTTTAGTAGAGGCGGGGCTTTCACCATGTTGGTCAGAGCTGGGTCTCGAACTCCTAAGCCTCAAATGAGTCCAACCCACCTTGGCCTCCAGAAGTCGCTGGGAGGCCAGGAATTATGCAGACCCAAAACAGCCTGGAGAGAGTAATATAGACAAACGACCTTCCTGTACAAAAGCAACAAAAAATAATATCATAGCCTCAGGAGTGGGTGGTGGGCATGCTGTAGTTGCATATACTTCGAGAGGCTGAAGGCAAGAGATCTCTTAAGCCCAGGC